AAATGTTTGCGTGAACTATCCCATTTATTGAGCAGCAACTGCTAAATTTCCATTGACTTGCATCGAACAATGAGGGCATTTAAATGGAAAAGGGTGGCAGACCTTCTTTAAGTACTGCTTTTCACGAAGAGGATTTCGGTCATTTAGTGGGTTAACTTTAAGATAAAGGTTTTGAAATTTAACCCTGAAGACATTACACAAAATGAGGAGTATATTTCCGCGATTGTTGTTATTATCAACAGATCCAAAGAGCCGCACACTCCTGCGAACAGCAGTCACCCGATTTTTCAATTGGCATAGCGGAATGATCTGCGTAACAAACTATTCATACTGGACGTACTCATGCTCGGTCCGAAGATGGTTCGGCAGAGCGACTGATTTCCCATAAAAATACATGGAATAGTCGGTACTCGCATTTTCTGCTGTGCTACCTCTTCCAAATAGCAAGGGACACTTACTGCAACGGGACACTAGAAGAAAACAATTGCCTACCCATAAGATCCTTCTCAAAGCGTGGCTGTACGTCAAGTTTCATCCAAAAGCCCAACATCACCCTGTGTCCTAAACTGAAGAAAAATTCGATTCAGAAATGGGTCGCTGTAAACTTTTCATGCTTTTCAGGTGAAAACATTCCACATACGGGCAGAATATTATTATAGACAAAGACATGGGAGACGGAAATGGCCAGTTCTAGCTTATTGGCCGTCGTCAATCAGTCATACTCAACACCGAGGTGTGGGAAACACGGAGATCAAATTCGCGTCCAAGGCCTGTAAACACTAGACCACGGTCTCGTTTTCCGGTTGGTTGCGATGGAGAATATACAATAGCAGAGGGACGCATACCGAACTTTTTACGGAACTCACTCGACAAACTGTGCCCTACGGGCCGTCGACGGCGCTAAAAAACCAGAAATGGCCATTTCAGTCTCCCTTGTCTTTGTCCATAATGCAATTCTGCCATTATCACGCGCTGCTGTGGGGTTATTGGTTGGGTTCGTTGTTAGTGGCATGAACTACAGCAAGTGGGCTAACACATGAAATTTCAAATGAAAACCGGAACTTCGTTCATTTTTTCGAATGGATTAATAAAATAGGGCAATAGAGCTAATCACTCTGCAGCATAATTCTATACAAATTCAGTTATCAAAGGACTTCGGCTTCGAATTAATATCGAAAAAGCCGCATGCACAAAACGCAATCTGTAAAAAATGTAGCATGCAATTTTCTCATTGATCTTCGATGTCCTTAAAAATTCAATCATATTTAATGGAAAACATGCATAAAAGCATTCATCCCCTTGACAATTTCGTAGAACGTTAAGCATTGTTCAAATTTTATAATTAGGGGAGGGGTATCATTTGGTTTGTAAACATTTTCCTATTGTGAGATACTTAAATCCCGTGAAAGTGCCGTTCATTACGCATCATGTCTCTACATTTAAAAATACATTTAAAATGTGAAGGTAACAATATCGCTCAAATCCACTTCCAAGTTTTATTAATTTCATACGGTCCCCTCTTAAAACTGTAGAGATAGGTACGGACTTCCGTACGCTTAAAATATATAGCTTGTAGTTTGGGAGCCCTAACTGCAAGTGTAACGGCACATCGGATTTAAAATTATTCGAAAAGTTGACATGTTCTCGAAAACCTTTGAGTATACAACTGGAATAAGACATACTTTTCTACCGCATGAGTGACTTCCATGAAACACAATCGAATATTTAGGGGCATCGAAAATCAATGGCAAAAATGCATGCTACATAAGTAGCCATTTTATGCAGAGTTTAGTTTTTGCATGCAGCCGCAATCACCGTTTGGAAGCTGGTATCCTGAGGTAACTGAATTATTATGAAATTTATCTCCGAGATGATCAGTTTTGGATCCATACCTAGTTAATATTTTTGAAACGAATACGCATTTCAGAATTTCGGTTGACATTTCATGAGTTAGACCACCTAATATACTTCGATCCAGATAAAATTTCAGACACTGTGTATGCTTTGCCCACGTCGCAGTTTGTTTGAGGCGAAATAAATCACAGTTTCAATCTTGCAACGTTTCTTCACACCAAAATACCAATCATCTCAGATGAGTACACCGTCGATATGGTGAACGAAAAGAACATTTGCGCGCACCATACAGTCTATTCCAAGGCAACCTCGAAGTTCGAATAGATTTGCGTCTGAAAATGAGGAAACGTTAGTAGAAACTGATAAAAAACTTTCTTAAAGAGATGATTGTTACAAAGAGGATTTCAGTCACCTATAACATAATGCAATCCTTTCCTGACGTTGCAACCTATCTCATTAGTCACAAGGAATGCAATAACGTTATCTTAAGTAATTCTCAACACAGCGTAGTCACTGGTGCTGCCATGGAGGGGTCAATTTTGTCACAGACTCACAGTTACCCGCACATGTGGCTTTTCAGTAAATTAAGGAATAGAAACTAACGTGAATATCCCACCAAATACGCAGTCCTACTGGGCAGACGACTAACTGCTTGAATGGATGAAGTCATCTGCTACTGGATATCGCCTAAAATATTTCACTTTCCTTCTGGTTAATTATTTATGTTTTACCGACCTCTGAATAACGGTGGACGTTGTATCTAATAATACTACGTCACACCATACAGAACGCAGTACGAGGATGTTCCTGCGAACTTTTACAATTGCGGCAGTTTCGATTATATTACCCTAGCGAGCGATTTCGAAAAAGTAGATTGTATCGGAGCCACTCTTTCAGCCGTAGATACAATTGCAGTAGAAATTCTACGCGAAATGAGAAAAAAGTCCATCTCACGCCCAATAAATCCTAGAGAAGACTTTGTATTTTGCAGAGTGTCCCACTGAGGAACTGCACGAATCCTATCAACTGACTGATTGAAATGAACACATGCGGGAATGAGAAACTTTGTCAAAAACTTGCCAAATGTTTACGGGGAAAACAAACCCAGTATAAAACGCAATTTAAACTAGACGAGCATTGCTCAGGGTGAAGTTTGTCCTCGCCCATTGTGTCTGACATATTTCTAGAAGCTTAGAATGGTTAGCTGACGTGCCGAACGGAAATATTTACTCCGAACTCAGGTGGTCCAACGAATGGTTCCTTTACCAGCTCCTCCTCGGCAGACGCACTCTGGACAGCCGTTATACAAAGGATAATTGTCCGAAAAGAGTAATTCACCAACAGGCGCGCATTACGAAGGGCTGCCTAATGTAAGCCCAATGGAATGCCTCTACGACTGCTTGTTGAGTTACACTTCCGGCTGTGTGCAAACGTGTAGCCGACAACGGTAGCATCTAAAGTGTGCACTGGTAGATGCCGCTTCACGGAATAGGATAGGCATTTGACTGACGGTGGATGGATCTGGAAATGTTCAGACGTAGTTATGCAGCCCCAGCTGAAGAAAAAACCCCAACCACCTGTAATACAGGGCCGGTGGTAATTGGGGTTTTTACAGAAGGAGACGGGAACGCAAGGGCAACGAGGTAAATTTGTTGTATGCAAAAGCAAAACAATTGTGAATGCGCGGGTGTACTTAGTTGGGCCCCAGGTATCCCTCACCTTGGGGTTGGGTATGACTGACTGACAACGGCCAATAAGCCAGAAATGGCCATTTCCGTCTCATATGTCTTTGTCGGTGAGCCCATTCTGCAGGTATTTGAAATGGCAGCGGTCGCATTTTTCGTCAGTTTAGACATAGGGTGACGTTGTGCTTTTGGATAAAACCTGACGGATAGCCATGCTTGGAGATGAATCCTATGGGTAGGCAATTTATTCTTCCAGTGCGTCTATGGACTAAATGTTCCTTGTCATTTGGAAGAGGTTTCACAGCAGAAAATGCGAGTAGGTACCATTCAATGCATTCTTATGGGAAATCAATCGCTTTACTGAACAACCTTCCTGTACGATCATTAGAACTTCTAGTTGTAATAACTCGTCAAACACCTCATTTCCCCGTGCTAATTGAATACTCGGGCGAAAACTATTCGCAGCAGTACAGTAGTTAATAACAGTAACCGCGAATATAACATCCTCATTCTGTGAAACGATTTCGGGTTCAATCTCAGTAAAAAATTACCTTCAAAGGGACCCATTAAAATTTCGGAAAAGATTTGACCTAGTGCATTCGCCATTGCTTCTCCGTCATATTGTGTGCACGGGCTCCATTTAACACAATTTGAAGACTATCGCGCATTACAGCACTAAATCTACTGGTCCAAATTTGTTACCTAGGAATTGATCCCTGCCATTGCCGCTATTCTTAAAAACCGCAGATGCATCCTCGTACTGCGTTTTTCACGCTGTGGCCTAGTAATATACACGGCGATATCTACCGTAACCTAGAGGCCAGTAAAACCTACGTATTCGGAATGTGAAGTATTTTAGGCGATATCCACTGGCAGATGACTTCAACCATTTGGTCAGGCGGTGGAGTCAGCAGTAGCGACCGCCCATCAAGTAGACCTGTGTATTTGGTTGGACATTAAGTCTGGTTACTATTCTTAATAAACATAAAAAGCCAGCTTAGTTGGTGAGCTTTAAGTCTGGGACAAAATTGGCTCCGCTCCATTGCAGCAAGTTAGGTTACGCTTTAATGACAAGTACTCGGATTCGCGCAAACATCCTTTTTGCTCACGGTAAGGACAATGTCCTCTTCTGAATTGATCGGTATGTTTGTTTGACGAAAGACGTAGTTGAGAGAATGACACCATAATTCTTTCCGCCACAAATTAACTTCGTCACGGGCAAAATGCTCGCAATGCGCACAATTTTATCCGGAGAGAAGTACTTCATACAAGTTCAAGAAGCACGTCGTCAGGACGTCAAATCAGTTCGATGTTGGAGTGGGTGGACTGTACTGATTCACATGACTGTCGTAGGACAATGGAGCACCGAATGTAAACTATCTCCACGCTAATTGCTGTGTTCATTTCTCGAGCATCAGCATGTCCATATATATATTAGAAATCAAATAGGCCAAGTACAACATGATTCTTCGGGAATTCGCGATCTGCACACTTCTGGTTGCCAGTCTTGTTTGTCTGCAGGCACACTCCACAGAGGATGCCTACCAGATGTCGCCGGACGTCGTCGACGAAGAGCAAAATCTGCTGGATGCTGCCCTGGTGGAAGGCGAGCTGGAGGATGTGCCATCGCTTGAGGGAGAGCGTGTGAGGATTCGGCTGGGCGGTCGACGCGGACTGGGTGGACGCATATTTCGCAGTCGCGGAGGCAGGATATTTTGGCAGTACCTAGGCGCGCGTTAGCCCCTATGCATGTATTTTTATTTAATTTTCGCATGCACTTGAGACCTTCAACAATGTTAAACATGATTGCCGTTAATACATGTCTTTTGAGCACTGACCGTTTGGTGTGTACTTGAATACGACTGTCGGACGTCATGGCAAGCCCTACTGTTGCCCTAGAGTATGGAAATCAATATAACATTTGTCCTGCACAGGTGGAATAAGTGAACTTGTCGGCACATCTGAGGCGCTGGGGGTACCTTAATCACTCGGACTGCGGGCATAGAGGTAATTAGAATGACGTCTGACAGGTAGATAGCATATTGCACAGGGGCAGTAAAATTGTGGTGTTTGCAGTTCCTGTACACTTGAGCACAGGGAGTGTGATAAGGAAGAGAAAAAGTGAGTTTGAAGCTGTAAAAGCTGTCCGAAATCTCGTCTCGTTACCCGTCATTTCCCTGACGACGCCCACTTCAATTTTCAATGTCACGCTGGTGAGCCTAACCTGTCTCAATTTGGTTCAGGCTTCGAAGATTATGGCCAATTATTTAGAAACGTCTTTTGCTTTACTGAATTTCGACAGATGCCTAGGAGCCATTGGAGTAAGCTCATGTAATCTGATGTTTTTTGGCTAAATATGCACAAAATTTTTGGGCTTTTATGGGACGGTTTAGAAGGCGTGTCGTCCGTTTGGTGCGATTGTTTGTGCTACGCACCGCCGGCGCCTGAGTCACATGCGGCTTATCGCATAAAGAAATATTGCGCCACAGAGGGAACGCCGTTCAAGGGAACCTGAAATGCAACTCTAAGCGGAAATACTATCAGTCAGCTGACCAGCTTGACCATCCCTCTGATTTTCGAAGGCCGTAAAGTTTTGAGGGGTTATTCTGGACTGGCGACGTCATTTCGACAGTCCCGGCGATCGTGTCTTCTTCTTCAAAGGTAGATATCGGCATTTTCGCGCGTTTTCATTGCTGTAGGTCCCTGTGGATAGTTACGTCGGCAAATAAAGATCCTAACTCTACATTTTCTGGTAAGCTAACCATGGTTTCCCATGGCCTTTCCCGCTTAAACTTTCACTGAACGCCAATTTGAATACTCTACCAGTGAACCGCGGACCCATGTTCCATCGGGTTCAGTGAGTACACAGACGGCGACGCCTTAAATTAATGAAAGGCTTACGCAAATTCTGTTCGGCCTTGGGGTCCAATCTGAGTTGCACGCAGGAGGTCGCATTTTGATATGATGCACACAGACTGAACGAAGTTCAGTGAAAGCTGAAATGGAGAAACCGAAGGGACAAATTCCGTTTGGTAATTAGGTTGGTGAATCATCAGCGCCAGTTGACCGGTTCGGGCATCCTTCTCATTGTCGATGTCCTTTGTATTTTAGGTTATACAGAGAATAATGTGTCATTTTCCATATTTTATTTTTTGATTGTCACCTATGGCGTTTTCCGTAGGCAGTGATCTAACGTCTTCTAGACATTCATAGGCTTGAGTACTTTTGCCTGCAAGAATTCCCCTACATGATTTCATCTTCAACCGATGAATAGTGTTTGTCAGACATATTCGATTATTGTTTCTAGGAAGTCTGCTAACTGACACTGTGATTTAGTCCTCCAATGAAAGTAGCACCGTACTTCAATGGTTCTCTTGCAAAGTACCAATTACGAAACTGCGAGCTAAAATACAGCTCTATGAAGAAACCCAATCAGCTAGTACTTTTTAATAATTAGGTCGGTGAAACAACAGCACCAGCTATTGATTTGGACGTTCTTCACTTTGTGGAAGGGGATATTTCGAACCGGCCAATTCATTTTGACAGATGCTGGGAATTAAGTGTCATTTTCCATATTTTATTTTTTGAACGTCACCTGTGACGTTTTCCCTAGGCAGTGATTTAACATCTTCTTATCATCCCTGGACGCGGGCTTTCTCACATGCCCGGCACTCCCTACATGATCTCATCGTCAGCCTGAGAATGGTGCAAGTCCTGCGTTTTCTAATTTCGTGGTCATGAAGACTGCTAACTGACGATATGGTTTACTCCTCCATTGAAAGTACCAGTGGACTGCAATGGTACCCTTATAAATTATTAATTGTGGCAGCAGTTGATGGAGCATCCGGAATAATAATGCCTGACTCGTGTGCTTTCATGGATTAGCAACTGGACAGCTAGTGAAGATCAGTTTAACCCAACTGGTTGTTTCCCTTTGATAATTTGGACGGTCAAAACGGCATTAAGAGCTCGGTTTGTTGACTAGGACCTTTGAGTACGTTATAGCAAATATGCCTTCTTATAATGAGTAGTAATTAATCTCATCCGTACTCAGACTCATTGCGCTGGTCTTTCGACTAATATGCGTACACCCCGGAATTCACTGAAGACGGTAGACTGGTAATAAGTTAATAAGGTGAGAACTTGCTCGTTACAGATATTCATAACTTTTGGTTGACACAAATAGCTTCCGCGCTTAGTCACACCATGAGAACAAAGGTTCAGGTGGTCAATGAAGGTATACAGATAACGATGTTTCTAGTGGCACTGCATTTTCTGAACGGATCGGGCGTGCAAGGGGGATAAATGAAAGTCAGATCCAATGTGATCAGTAAGGACAATGTCCCATTTACGGATTTTCCACCGATCTAAGTACCTGCCCATGAGCACTGAAGATGATATAAGCAACGAATCTTTCGGTCTAGACAACTTCACGTTATAGAGTGACAGGTATCCCCTTCATCTGGTTCACCTCGTTCATTTATCTAAATCGAAAGCCAGCAGACACTTTTTGACTACGCCATTTTCCAGCTGCTTTTGTTGGCAGACTGGTGTTATTCATATGACCCAACTGTGAAACACCCCGTTAATCAGCAAGACTTCTTCAAATGACCTCTCTTGGTGTTTGTGTTTGATAACCCGATGATTCATCCAACCATTATGCAGCTTAACTAAAATATACCAACTGCGTTTTCTCGACTGTCGTCTTTCAAATCATGTGACTTTATAACGCAGGCTGTGGTAGAGAAACAACGTTGCTCACTGCTGCTCCATAATGTAGCTTCTACTGGTCTAGTTTATCATTCGGCTCGGCTCGGGATTGACATGGTGTCTCTAGAATGTAGCCCAGGTTAAAAATGCTACGTCTGTATCCTGATTATTTAAAAAATTATATGCCTGCAAAGTTAATGATTCGTCTAACAGGTATGAAAATATCGTGGTTAGTCTGTTGAAGTGGATGTTATTTAGCCTGACATTATGTGAGAATTTCATGGCCGGATAAAAAAACTTTTGTGCAAATGACCGATGTTGAAGAGACCTCCACCTTATCTAATAAGAGGTACAGAATGTTGGCCTAGTTGATTTATGTAAAACCTAGGAAGTCGGTAGGAGAAAAATGAAATGAGTGGCGATGAGCAATGAAATGTAACAGAGCCTCTGCTTTATCAGACGGGAACAAGTAGCCTGCAAATATTCCCGTAGACTGGACTTCATACTCGGGAAACTATGTGTAATCGTCGAAACCAACCCACTGAGTTCTCTTAGCAGTATCTAAATAGCCGAATTTGCCTGAGACCGAATTTAGCTGCGCATTCTCCTAACCCAAGACACCGGCCGTTCACCCGAAGTAAACTCAATAACGAGTTTGGCCGTCGTCTAACATCGGCCACCAGGAACCCCTTCCCTAGTCAACAAAGGACTATTTTTCACCTCCCAGCTAGCGCACTTAGCGTCACAAGAAGGCAAATCCGAGTTCCGGGGGGGAAAGGAACGATTGTTGGGTATTAATTCGGATCATGATTCAACGGCGAGTCAGACGGCTCAGAGGCTGGACTCCGTGCGCGGTTATTTATTTCGGCGATGCTCTGCCGCTATTGGCGTGCACAAATCTGTTCTACTTTCAAAACGGAAGTCAGACTTTTCGCTTTGTTCTTGAGACACGGTCGAAGAACTCTTGTGACCTATTCCATCGAGAAGGGCCGCCCTGGAAGACCGGTGTGACAGCGCGGACATTTCTGGTTGGTTTCCCCGTTAGCCAGTCGTATTTCAGGAAGGTTCAACGCAAGTTCTGAACCCGCACATCCAAGATAACGCATTTACTTCGCTTTAAATGGTTGACAAAACAGTCCAGAGACAGCTCCCTGACGTTCTGCACATGAAGACAAGCATTTGGATTCGACGCATAGTTTGCGGAACCTAAAGAGACCTGTTCGACTACAACCAAAGGTGGTATGTATATTATTCCGAATTGACAGATGAGCGCTCACCAATCAGGTTACAGAACCCTATAAATTCCCTCTATATTACCGTAGAGAAATGTGTGGTTTTCCCTACGCGGAAAATATACGGCTCGTAGATTGGAAACCTTGAATCCAAGTGTAAAGGTAGTACGGGTTAAAAATTATACGGGAATTGAAAAGGTTTTTGGAAACAGAATAACACCCTTTCTTCAAATATAAGATTGGAAGGATACGTGATTTTCTACCGTATAAGTGAAAGGATGAATATTTTTTTCATGGTCTCCATGCAATATTATTGGACATTAAGGAGCATCCAAAATAAATGAGAAAACTTCATGCTACTTAAGTTGTCGTTTTTTTACGGAGTGCTGTTTTTGCGTGCAGCCGGAAGTTCATTCAAAAGTCGACATCCTGAGGTAACTGAAATATTATAGAATTATGTTGCAGGCTGTCTTCTTTCACAACTTTACTTTATTAATCTTCTCAAAACAAAAACGCATTTCTGAATTTCGGTTAACATTTCATGAGTAAACACGCCTACTGTACACGGAACATGCTCGTTGCCTTGTGCTTTGGGGCTCATACTAGAACCCGCGTAGGCAGTCATACAGCAACTGGCATCAGGCGTAAATGAGATGGTACCGACAAAGGAAAGCAAGACCGTAATTGCCATTTCTGGCCTTCGTCAGCCAGTTATACCCAATCCAAAGCGTAAACCACCTGGGATTCGAACCCGGGATCTTTGGTCATTGAGTCGAACGATCTACCAATGAGCCACGG